GAGATTCTACGGGCATGAAACAATTACTAATAGTGGTGCAGAGTAGAGAACAATTTGATGTGGCAATCGCAAATCTCCAGTAATGGAGTGCACTGAAAGAACATAGTTAATAGTTTTTTCTTAAAAATAAAAATATTTGGAAAATAATGGTCTGGTAGCTGATAAAAGTCACAAATCTTGTAAAAACAACAGATTTCCTTGAACCATATTTATCGATTCTATAAATATGTATCTAGTCAAATGTTCATTCATATCTTAATTAAAAGAAACAAATTCATCAAAATAAGATGTAGCCAGATTTTAGGATTTTTTATATAAAAGTCATTGACAGATAATGAAGCCACATCTTAAAACATACAAGATATATGATCTAGGTCATGATAGATATATGATGCATAATATGCTGTAAGATTTGATATACTCAATTACATTTACAGGAACTTTACTGGTCTGTAGTGAAGTATAAATAAGGTTTAAATATATATCTACAATAATACATATATCTATAATTTAATAAGAAGGAATGCCAGAATACAATAGTAAGTATTAATCAACAATAAATTGTTAGATTAATCTTAGAATGTACAGTGATTCAAGCTGCCAAGTAGAGCCACTACAGACAATATTATATTCACATATTACACACACACACATATATATATATATATATATCTTATCATCATCTAGAACTACTACATAAGGGAGGCGGCACAATAATCAGTAGAATAATACATTGAGAATGATGATATAATATATAGATATATATTGACATAAGCCGCAATAGAAGAGTATTAAGCGAAAAATGTATAAATTTGAAACGGGTAGCTGCTGCATTTGTTCTAAATATAAATGAGAAGAAAAAATATACATGGAACTCACAAAATCGAATCGACAAGAGAATCTGAAGGTAGATAACCATATCTACGAATATGCCTCCACCTTTCCCTGCCTAGGCTCAATAATAAATGACAGCAAGAACATCAGTCAAGAAATAAAAGCAGGGATTCTTAGCAGTAATAAGTGCTTTTATGCATACAAAGACTTAATTAAAAGTAAGTTACTGAATGGTGGGTCTAAGTTTAGAATCTACAAAACAGTAATTCTGCTGGTGATAGCATATATGAAATGTAGACCCTTTCAAATCAATTGAGAATATTTGATCACAAAATAATAAAGATATTTGGACCAACCAATTGTAGAGGTGGTTCATGGAGAATCAAAATGAACTCTGAGCTGGATGAATTAATGCAGATCGCAGATATCGTTAGATTTGTAAAGTCACAAAGACTAAACTGGCTTTGCCACTTAGAAAGAATGCCAGATAATCAAACTGTAAAAGTAATCGAAAAATTGAAACACACAGGAAATAGCACAAAAGGAAGGTCTGTAGGTGGATAGACAATGTAGAGAATGATCTTAATACCATGAACATCAGACAATGGCGAAGGAAAGTATTAGAAAGGGGAGAATAGAAGAATATTGTTAAGCAGGCTAATACCCACACAGGGTTGACATATTAGTATCTCGAATAAAGTCAGCATCATATGGGAAACTTTTGATTATTAATTTTATAAATAAAAACTTTATTATAAAAAGTTGTGCATTGTCTAAAACATAAGATGCAACCATCAGATATCACATTTTATCAATCTCATATGAGGTACGTAAAAAAATATGAATTTCACTTAAGTATAAAATGTTTTTATATTTCACAATATCAAAAATGTTATTAAGAAAAGTTTTTTGAAATAAAAAACTGTTTTAATATGCAATTGCATCCTTCTAATTGAACAAAAATTTCTTCTCAAATAAAAATATGATAACTTTTCCCTTCAGATAAACAGTTATAATAACATTTTCACAAAAAATAAAACATTAAAGAGTTAATAACCTTTTTCTATCAGAACAGAAGATATATTGTAATAAATATATTATGATATAATATCTACTTTACACTTTAGCAAAAGAAAAATTTTGTTACTCCTATAAAATTGGATATGTGATGGTTGCATCTTAGGTTTTAGACTATGTACAACTTTTTTATAAAAATAACTTTATATAAAATTAATAATAAAAAATATCGCAAGAGGCATTCATTACAATCTTTTATCTAAAAGTTGTTTCAATGTGTCATTTATTCCTTCAAGTATTTTATTCTTTCTCTCTTTTTGTGCCAATTTCCTCTCCTCTATTTCTAGCATACTTTTCATTTTCCTCTCATCTTGGGCCAATCTCCTCTCCTCTATTTCAAGCCTTCTTCTGTAATGCTCCCTCCTATCTGACCTAATCTCTTTCAGGAGATTACTCTTGAGGTTTCGGTTGGGGTACCTCCTAATTATTTTACATTTCTTCTCAGGGGTAAAAATATTTTGTGCTTGGCTGGTAGGCTCTCCATCATCTAAAATTAAATATATATCATGTACATTTACATTCTGATCAATATATGTTTTGAGAAAAAATTACAAAAGCAAACTATAATGCAGATTTGCTGGGTTGGAAATTGAAAATTAAGACTTTGTGCACATTACAAAATAAATATCCTGATTAACATGTGATGTTAACCTACCTTGTTCTAAACTACAATCAGTTATGTAGTCATGATCCAGATTTTTTGCTTGGGAAATGGTCTCTGTACTCAGGAGGATTGTGGGGTGTATATTTTTTTTGTGGCCTAAAATTGAAGCCATTGCCTCTTCGTATTCGAAGTCTTGGCGGCCTCGACCAGTTTGTTTGTTGGTATCTAAAAATTTTTTATAACCTCTTTCCAACACCTTCCACCTGTTCTCACAGTTTCCGGCAGTTATTTTTATGCCCAAGCAGTTTTGCAACTCTTTTGCAATTTCTTCATACATCTTTTTTAGGCTCCTGATATTCAAAGTACCAACTTGGGTTCTATATTGTCTATAAAAATCAAGAAAGAGTAATGTGTTTTTATTATTCCATCTAAAGATGGTATCTTCACCATTACCATTACCAACGTGGCCACTGGTAGATGGTCCAGCTTGGAAGTTTAAAAACTCATTCAAATCTATAAAACAAACACAATCATAAGATACAGAACAATCTTTACACACAAAGCTAGAACTTACCCATTTCATAAGATATAAATCCAAATATTTACAAACTCGAAAGCTCTAACAACAAACAAGCAAAAATAAAAAATACGAAAGAGAAAACCAGAACAGAAACGTAACTAGACGAACTAACTAGACGCTAAATGGCTAAAATCTAAATAAAATATGGCCGCTAGCAATGCGCAAACCAGATGCGTGAACAATTCCCGCCGAGTCGACTGCGCCTTCGGGTTGTTCCGTATCAGAACTGAAAATTGTTCAAAATTCGTTCGCGGTGTAAATCAATCCTGAACTGATTATGAACCGCGCTTGCGTACAACCCGATTACTACGAGGATTCTAAACGCATCCTGAACGCGTCCAGGATTCGTACCGCGAACGAAACTAATATAAATCCAAAGACGTAAACAAACACCGTGTCATAGACAAAATAAAATGGCGTTGTGTTTTTGTTGTTGAAAATGATTGGATTTTTGCAGATGCGATGACATGTGCATTTGAAGAAAGTTTTTGGTGGCGCCACCTTTCTAGTTTAGTCAAGAATTAAAGAGAATGAACCGTCATTGCCATTAAAGATAACATGCCATGTTCTCTGATAATAGTTTGTCTGACACACGATGTTTTGTGAAGTAATTTTGTGAATTCTGCTCATAAACTAACATTTCTTCTGTTTTTCCTTCATACCCTCGATCTTCTAAAAAATCTTCTAAAAAATCTTTTCTATTTCTTCTAAAACAAACTAAAAAATTACTATCAATCTACATTTTAAAGAATGTTTTCTTTTAAGATGGATCATGGCAAAAATATAGTATTTCTCTGGGAAGATGCCATATAGTCGACATCTACAAGAGCAGCCAAAAGTTTTCGCAAAGAACAGCTATAAATAAAATTAATTTACTTATCTATGTTTTGACCCCAATTGGGTGAGTCTAAACTCTTTCAAAAAGGAAGGCATCAAAGAAAAGAGCCCATTGGGTTCGATTGTTGGGGTAGTAGCATCGAGCAAAAAGATAAAAGAGGGAATCTAATCGTTATGAAAAGGAGACCAAAAAAGTGGCCTCTGATGGCGGACATATCCGGAAATGCAAAGGCGCTAAATTTAAATTTTCCAACACTTATTAACAATAGCTATAAAATATTTTTCAGACGAGAAAGTTTTAATTAAATATTAACTATAATAGTCTAAAAAGTGACACAATTGGTAAAAGATTTCAATATAAATAAAATTTCATGTGACAGTTGGGACAAACAATAACATAACCTAACTAAATTTGACTTCTTAAACAAGGAAAGAGACTGTCTATCCTTGTCTAAAGTGGCCTCTCAAGATGGCACTTCCTGTCTATCAATATGTTTACCCCCACTACCTTTACATTCCCTCTTTTGTCTTATTGCTCGATGGGTAGTAGTCAGAATGTGAAAGAAAACAAAAGTTGGTTTGTTGAGCTGAAAATAAATCCTCAAAAAGTAAGCAAGATCAAAATGAGAAATATAATAGAAACAAATCATCAAGAGGCAGTGTAGAAGTTAACTAAGTTTTTGCGTTTTGGTCATGAGCATATAGATGCCGCCAGAGTATTTTTAATAATCCTTTAAATAATAAAAATAGTTTTGGAAATATACGAAATTTATCATGTATCACGTCGTTTTCGTTTATTGAAATTTTCATGTATGTAGGCAACTGTAAAAAGTGGCCGTGATTAATGATTTATTCAGCTATTATTCTCTGTTTTGACAACTTGTCGATGCTTTAACCTAAATCTAAATAATTCAGGGAAAATGATTTCGAACAATACAAATACAAATAGTAAATAGGGTTTATACACAAAAAGATCTGCGGCTGTTTGGTCATTATAGACTATAATCTATTAAAATAATAATTATTATATTTATACTTATTACTTTTTGAAACTAGATTACATTAAAAATGCCGAGGCCTTCTTCATTGACTGAACATTTCATTATCGGAACAATATTGTCATGTATTTTCTTAGTATTTAATTACTCCCTTCATAGAATTGAAGAAGGACATGTAGGCGTTTATTTTAGAGTAAGTTATAAACAATATATAAATGGACTTGGTCTGGTTTTCATTACACATTTTTTCAGGGTGGTGCACTCCTTCCTTCAGTTAGCTTTCCTGGATATCATATGATGATACCTCTATTAACGAGCTTCAAATCAATGCAGGTAAATTAAAAAAAAAACACTTTTGGGGATTATTACCTTTAGTGTTTGATTATTAAGATCAATTGTGTTGGTTGTAGATAACATTGCAGACAGATGAAGTTAAGAATGTACCTTGTGGAACCAGTGGAGGTGTAATGATCTATTTTGATAGAATAGAAGTAGTAAATCATTTAAATCAGAACAGTGGTAAGTATTTGTTAAATAGACAATGTCCATTCTGTTCAATCGAACATTTTCTTCAATAAGAAACATAATTCACTCTATTGGTTCTTGCAGTTTCCAGAACACTTATTGGTTACATTTTCAATAAAACAGAAATGAAAACAAAATGAGGTTTTATAGAGCTTAGCATATGCTGAAGAATATTATTTTGTTTTATTTAAGCATGTAAATCTGTTTGAAGACCAATCATGCAATCATATCAGTTTCACAAATCATTTGCCAACATTACACACTGAAAGTAATGGATTGAATTAGCTTATATCTCTATCAGAAGATGGCAACCCCTAGTATTGGCGAAACGCCTAGAACTAATCTTAAAAGACAACAGCCTAACAGCCGAAACAAACAGCCTATAAATCTTCCTTGTTAAGCTTCCTTAATATTACTGAGCTTGGTTCAACAATGAGTGTGCTTCTTAGACAATATAGTCCTTCAACCGGATGCTGCAACAATTGACAAACATTTAATAGCTTGCTGTTCTGGAATATTATAAAATGATGATGAAAGCAAAAACAGAACTGACAACTGCTGGCTAGAGACAATCATCAAGAGGAGCTTGATTTCTCTTCCATCTCTTCATGGTAGTCCCCACTTTTTTTTATTTACAATGTGACAGATTATTAGTCTTTTTCCTTTTCCTGAAAATTTTATTATTTTAAAATTTACTTCAAGTGAAAAAGCACTCAAACATTTACCTGCAGGATTTTTTAACCCGTAAAAATGCTTGTTTATAAGAGATTGTTATAAGAGATATTAAGAACACCAATAGTTAGGTAGTTGTTATGTTTTATGTTATATATTATTTTATATTTTTTAATAAGTGTAGATACTATATTTTAAATGTAATATTATTTTTATCTTATATGTGAATGTTATAAATTGATTCATTTTGTATGTATTATGGCTTTTCCTATTTTTAAACAAATAAACTTCTAAGATGTTTCCGAATTGTCGACCCATACTTTAGATTTGGTGTGACCAGCGTTTAGCTAAGTCTCATCTAAGTAGTAAATTTTGCTGATGTCATTTCTGTAGAACTTAATTTTTATCAGAAATTCTCGTCTCCACAAGACAATTTTGTCCCTGTCCATCAAACTACTGTTTTGCTGATGACATTGAAACTTAAAATTTATTTCTTTCAATTATTTAAAAAACTTTGTTCTTTTGAAGTTAGGCAAAATTGGATCTTCATTAACAACCCTCAGAACTTTGTCTATTGTGGGTATTTCATTTCGAAAAAAGAATTGATGGATTATTCTTATCATTGCTCCTCTGTCAAATTCATCCAGCGAGTTAACAATACTTTTACTCTGCTCAACTGATTTTGGTGTACACTATGGGTACACACTCCTACAATAGATAAAAAATAATAATATTTGTTAAATAAAGTGAAAATGCACACTCTAAAATAAATAATGGAGAAACAATATTAGTACCTGTTTTATCTGGTATTCTAATAGAAATCACACTTTTTGACATTAATCATTTCCTTCATCTTAATGTCAAAATGTCCCTTTACTGGTCTTTTTTTGGATGGAGTGAAGGTTAAATCAATATCAAAAAGTTCATTAGCTGTATCAGTACTTGACATTTTTGTTGTTCTATTTATCTTCAATAACTTAATGTACTTAGTTGATTGAGAGAATGTCAAAATAGCCTAGGGAAAAATAATATGTATTGTAATAAAACCAGCATCATCGAAAATATCAGTAAAGTTATGAAACTGCATTCTGTATACTTTTTCAAGTCCAGTAATATATCTAGAAAGATAAAAACCTCTCCAAAGAACAGCTTGGATTGACATGACATTTGGCTTACACATAGCTAACATGTTAAATAAAAAAGTTATATTGTGCCAATGTGTGTTTTTGTCCTAAGGGTGAGTTTAACCCATTTTCAGGGACGAAAAAACATACTTTCAAAATAAGTTAGGAATTGGATAAACTGACAAATTCTATCTATTGACTATATGTTTTTCGACAAAATGCTTACTTTTTGAGCTATTTGCGAAAAACCGTCTAAAAACGTGGTTTTCTTTTTGAAAAATGATCATATTAACTCGCAAATAACTCGATAAATATTGCTTTTGTGCAAATACTGTATCAAATAAAAGTTACTTAGAATTAGTCAGTTTATTCATTTCTGGACTTATTTTGAACACATGTTTTTTCACACCCGAGAAGGAGTGAAACTCATTCCTATGGCAAAAGCACACATCGGCACAATATTCCTTTTTTTCTTTGCTGTTACCTATGTATATATCACTTAAACTAAACTCTAAAAAATAACACGACCAGTAAATAACTTAACAATAACTATTACATATAACACACAATATATTAACTTAAAAACCAACACTCTACAATTTGAATTTAAACAGACTGACAAGTTTGGACCTGTAAAATGAGAATCCGTGTGGCTTAAGGCAATAAATTATATTTATTAGCCTTTTGACGAATGAGAGGGCGAATATCAACAGGTGCGTTTGTTTACAGTTAAGAATTTGCTTAATGAATGTACTTTAGGAAATTTCGTGTTGACAATCAGCTGGACAAATTCCTTTAGTTTTTTTGTTTTACCAAGGAAGGTTTCTCGATTTTGCTGATAAAAGGAGAACAATAACATTAATATAAACAGCTAATAATATAAGATAATTGTAAAAAATCCTAATTTTTTTTTTCTAGTTCTCGATATTGTTAGAAACTACACAGCTGATTATGACAAAACTCTTATTTTCAACAAAGTCCACCACGAACTAAATCAATTTTGCAGCATACATACCTTACACGAGGTTTACATTGATCTGTTTGATCAAATCGACGAAAATTTGAAGCAGGCTCTTCAAAGAGACTTATTGGAAATGGCACCAGGGTTGACAATACAAGCAGTAAGAGTAACTAAGCCGAAAATCCCAGAAGTGATACGAAAAAATTACGAATTAATGGAAGGAGAAAAAACTAAATTGCTGATAGCCACCCAGCATCAAAAGGTCAGTATTTTTTTGTGTAATTTGGTTCTTTTAAATACAAAAATTTCTAGTATAAATCGACATCTATCTTTTGCTTAGACGTAAATAATAATGCCATTAGGAATTTTATCTTTTGGTAATGTCTTTCTTGTAAAGATTACCATGGGTGTTAGCTTTCTTTGGTCCGTGCAACCAGCTAAAACTACAATGTAGAGTTTTTTCATGAGTTGCTGTTTTGATCACTATTGATTTGGTGACTTTTGAATTTACAGTCTGATTTGAAAGCACATCAAAAGCTTGAGGCACCTTATTCATACTTGCAGTTTAATTAATCCCGAAATTATATTTTGTTTTCACTTACAGTAACTAAGAAAGTAAACAAAGTTTTGAGAAAAGTTCTATATAAATTTATTAGGGTTGGAAAATCTGCTCCCCAATTTTTATGTGATACAGATTTCATAATGTTTAGTCCAGTTTCATCCCTAGGAATTTTATTTCTTTTGTATATTCTATAGGAGAATTGTATAAAAATAGATTTGGGAGCTTTTGTGAATTTGATTTTAGTGGAAAACGTATATAGCTTTTGTTTTTGTGGTGGAAAACTGAAGCCCAATATTGTTAGACCACGATTTTATCGACTTAAGAACTTCGATTATGAGCAGAAATACAGTAACTACAGAAATTAACAGATATATATCGAGTAAATAGATCACTACTATAGATTAAAGAAATTTTTAACATCATAGTCACAAAAAGAACAAAAATATTGGTATACAGAACTCTTATGACGTTGACAAAAAGCGATGAAGAATGTTAAGGCTGTTTTGAACATTAAATTCTGACATATTTATAAAGACGTACAGGAAAATGGTAATTTTGAGCTTTACCACCCTTATAGTGAACTTTATAGGTCCATCACAATAAACAGGCTGCGCTGGCTAGGCCACCTAGAAGGTCCAGATGGCAGACAACCTACGAATGTTAAGAGTATGGAATTGGAAAACCAAGACGAAGGATGGAAAGGAATGGAAGCTGATGTAGATCAGGCCAAGACCCACAATGGGTTGTAGAGGCAATGATGATGATGTCTTACCTGAAAAAAGCAGACAAGGGAGCAAAATGTGTATAAAAAATTGACACAGAGACACTTAGGTTTGTGCCATAAAGATGGTTTTCCTATCTCTGTCATAATTACTTCTTAGTACATGACATATCTAGGCTAATATACTATTCTCCAGTTCTATTTGGTACAGCCTTTCTATTAATGCATTTTTTTAGATTTTTTCAAGTCTGGTTTCTCTTTCGTTAGAACTTGTGGCTTAATTTTTGCTAAAACCAAATCATTCAGCTTGAAAAACGATTTAATTAGTTTATAGATGTAGTAGTATGGATACATATTTAACTAACTCTTATGTTTAATTATAGGTAGTTGAAAAAGATGCAGAAACCGAACGAAAAAAAGCGATAATAGAAGCCGAAAAAGAAGCCCAAGTTGCCAAGATTCAATTCGAACAGAAGATCATGGAAAAAGAATCGCTGCAGCGCATTTCCCAGATAGAAGACGAAATGCATCTTGCTAGACAGAAGAGCCACGCTGACGCGGAGTTTTACAAGCACAAGCAACAGGCGGAAGTGAATAAAATGCTGCACACTAGGGAGTACATAGAATTGAAGAAATACGAGGCACTGTCGCATAACACAAAGGTATACTTCGGAAATGAAATACCTCAAGCCTTTCTGGGCTCGGAAATATCGGCGTTTGCTGATGCGAAAACTGCTGTAGGTGAGGGTAAAACTTCAACGGAAAGTTAAGATTTTAGGAACTGAACACGTTAGTCTAGTCAAAGAAGTTATTGTTATACACATTAGGACAAAAATATTGCATATGAACGACCTATAAGTGAAAGCTTCTAGGCAGGAAGAAAAATTCCAAAAAATATAGAAAATTTTTTAGATGCATTGGAAATTATATACCAAGTGGGTACGCCTAAAAAATGTCAAACTTTTTATGAACGTTTATGCAGAAAAAGTAAAGAAAAGTTCAAATATTAATGTTTTTTTTTGATGGAAACTTGCAAAAGTGGAAATAAATTAAGAAATACAAAACAATAAAAAAAAAATAAAATTTACTACCAAAAAATTTACATGAATAGCTAACAAAAATATATAATTGTCATAATTATAAATAACTCTCTTGTTTCGCTAGTACCAAATAGACTTTTAAGACTTGCTTAATTAGTGATAGACTCTTTTCATGACTACGAAATGAACAATTTTAGCACAGAAAAAAACCTAAACAAAACGTAAAATGTGATATTTGTTTCTTGTGATTTCACTTGTTGGTCGTTGATATGTTACTTTGGATATATAGAGTATCTATTGTCTATTTTAATAATTTAATTGAAAAAAAAAAATCCTAATTAAGTACGCAATCGAATTTGCAATTCATAAATGACAGTTCATGACATTTATGTCATTGTCGTTATCAATATAAACGTCGTTTATAGCATTTTTCATATAAAAAAGCTTGCACGTCATTTAAGATTTATGTCGTCAGAACCCTACAGCGTTGCCAAAACATCAGAATAGTTAGTAAGTGAGGAATTTTTAAAATGTCAACTATTTGTCTATTATATTAACAGTAAATACACTTAGTTTTAAGACTAAGAATACACAATAATTAGTTTTTAATGCTATTAATCTAAATTTAATATGTATTTATACATACAATTTAATAATATATATTATATTATGATCAAATTGTGTAAGAAATCAAAACATAAACAAAATTTCTACTTTAAAAAAGCGGCAACACTTTATACACTTTTGCCACCCACTGAACTGTCAATAATATTTGATGTATTTCTGTATCAGTTGTGTACAATTGTCTAATATATTTAATTAAATTTATTATTTTGTGGAATATTAGACTTCAAGAGTTATTTCATAAAATTTATATCATTAATAATAATAAATGTTTTTGGTTATTTAATCAATATAATTCTAAAATTTCCAATGTAATGATGATTATTACACCATGTTGACGCCTATGAAAGATCGAGCAGTTCCGTATGAGTTTCGTATTATTAGCTGTATTAGGAAAATTTGAACTATAAGGTTGATGTTCTTGAAATTTTAAATACAAGTTACGTCATTTTGTATAAATCGTGACGTGCAAGTGTTTTACTTGGTATATAAAAATGGTATATAAACAGATTGTATAGTTCTTCTCAGACTCTTCTTTCAATAGTGACCGGCGCCTGTGTTTTAGTCATGTCGACTGTTGTTACATGCAATTTGTCACAAAAGGTACCCTCCTCCCCCCATTAGAATAAGCAAAATGTCATCAGTCCCAAAATTCCATTTTTTTCATTTTTTTATGTTCAATTTGAATTAAAAAATAAGATACAGCGCAATTTTGACCCTCCATACGCTCTTCCGACCTCGAAAAACATCTTGCATCCAGAAACATCTGGTTTTTCGCATAAACGATGGTTGTATTCGCTTCTTTGAGGCCTAAAAATTTTCACACATGAAGACCAAATTAATGATCAAATATGGATAGAGCCTAATCAGATAGAAGAGACAATCAGACCAACATCCCCAAAAGAAGTAGCTGATGAAATAAAAGAAAACATAAATCCGAAGAAAGACCCAGGATACAGTCTAATTACTGGAGAATTACTAAAAAACCTGCCTCGCAAAGCCATAGTAAAAGTGACCAACCTAATTAATGCTGCCTTTAGATTAAGATATGTCCCAAATTTATAGAAAATAGCTGAGGTAATAATGATACCAAAATCAGGGAAATCACCAACAGAGATCTCTTCTTACAGGCCAATATCACTCTTACCAGTGATGTCAAAGCTGTTCGAGAAACTCTTGCTAAAAAGAATGAAACCGATAATAGAAGAGAAAAAACTGATTTCAAACCACCAATTTAGCTTCAGAAATAAACACTCTACTATTGATCAAGTATATAGAATTACTAACATAATTGAGAAATCGTTAGAGGAAAAGCTCTACAATATTTTTAGACGTAGCTAAGGCATTCGATAAAGTATGGCATGAAGGTTTACTGTATAAACGGAAATCCTTTATGCCTAGACAATATTCAGAAATTCTACAGTCATACATATCTGATATATACTTCAGAATCAAACAAGAAGACGTTTACACAGATTTAAAAGAAATTAAAGCAGGAGTCCCTCAAGGAAGTGTATTAGATCCGGTCCTCTACTTGTTATACACATGCGACATACCTGAACTAGAAAATGATGCAGTAGGTGATACCAGTGAAGAAACAGCAGAAAAAAGCAGTTCTCAATAGATAAAATCCATAAGTGGACAAAAAATAGAAAATCAAACTAAACGAGTCTAAATCAATTCACGTTAATTTTACAAACAAAAAAATCCAAAACATTCCAATTAGAATAAGTGATGCCCAAATACCGCACGCATCTACTGCAAAATACTTGGGTATAGTTGTTAGATAAAATAAGAGGACGCCATAGTGTAAGCTCTTAGAAAACATCCTTTAGTAAATTAAGACAGATAAAAATTGATAATTAGTCAGCTTTGACCAGATTCCAATGGTGTAAACACAGCAGGTGTTTATTATAAAAAAAATCAAAACACTCAAAAACGTGTTTTTTGCGGGGTGAGGGGGTAAGGTGTGGGGTAGGGGTCTAAAATTGCGCTTAGCCTTCTTTTTTAATCATATAAAACGTAAAAAAAATAAAAAGAAACTGATTCAGCTTATATCGAATTCAAAAAGTATGATTGACCCCACAAAAACTCACAAAAACCCTTAAAAACCTTGAAAAAAAAATAGTTTTTCGGGAGTTTTAAGGTGTTTAGTTCAATTTTTGAATATCCTAAAAGACTCAGTTGAAGATTATGAGTCAAATTAAGACTCAAATTTTGTAAATGCCCCAGCTATGCGTGTGTTTTTTTGAAATTTTTAAATTAATTGCAACCCATCGAAAAAAAAAACAAAAACTAAAAAATTACGTTATTGGACTTAACGAGGCTTACCCTTTGACAGATGCCAGGATTTTATTAGCCAAATGTGCACTTGTACTGCACTAATGTTATTGCACTTTTTTGCTATTTTTCCTGGTCTCTCGTAAATCTAAATCTAATCTAAATAATTCCGTATTTTAAGGCGTATCATTTTAGTAAATAATTACAAAAAAAATAAATTCTCACATAATAAAATTGCCACATTTTAAATGCGAAATATTTTAATTAAAAAATATATGTAAGTGCAAATATCTTTTTCCAGGTTGTAATGCCATTGCCTGTCCTGGTTAGGCATCACTAACATGTCTTAAGCTTACATTAATGATAGTTTCTAATCCGAAGTTTTGCACATTTCGATTGGTTAGGTACTTAGGTATCTTAAATGCCAACCAATTAAATACTTTCATAAATATGCCCTTAAATATATGAATATACTTGGATTATGTTATATGTTTATTTTCTGTGAGAAATAATCACGGATATACAATATTTTTTGTCGTAATACACTTATTAGGTATAAATAAAGCACTGAAAGACGGGTGTGAGAAGAACCATATTCGAATTTTTATTAAAAAATGTATACAATAGGTAAGGTTATGTAAATGTCAGTCTGCGCAAGCGGCTAAAATCTCAACTCGCGTTATTATTAACTATTATCAAAAGGGTATTCTTTCTAATAGTAGGAAGTTTGTTTTTTTAAAGCATTTATTTTTTAATTTTGTGTGTACACAGGAAAATGTTGACAAACAGAATTTTGGTCATTTTACGTGGCGTAAACCTTTGACATTTGACGTTGAATGTAACGGTTGACGTCAAAATGTCATAATTCACATTAAAGCGTTATAATACACGTGAAACTTTATAATAAAATGTTATATTTTATATAGAAAATATCACGTTTCACTTTTTTATACAAGGGGGAAAACAAAGATATACTCCTCTTGTCCAAAAACTCCTGTCTTCTTGTTTTTTACTTGAAAATGTCACATTTCACGTTAAATGTCATATTTCACGATACAATGGCACGTTGCACGTGACATTTTACGTCATAAATTTTTGACGTCTCATTTTACATCACAAAATATCATCGTAGCCTTTTACGACAAAAAATTGAGCAAAATTGATCTTGGGATTTTTGACGTTTTCTCTAATTCTCTTCAAATTTTTCTCTAGCTTAAGATATTTTGTCTAACGTTTCCGTAATAACGATATTCCGTCCTTGAGCTGAGATTCTGGAACGATTTCTAAATCTTCATAATTTGGTAGTAGATGAAAATCAATGGGACCTAAATCTGGTAAATTAGGAGAATGTTTCAACAATTTATATTATAAGTTGCACAGTTTTACTATTGTCAAAAGGCCGTTTGCAGGCAAGTACACTTTTACACGCCACAAGTCTTCGCTCGAATTTTTTTATTAAGTTGGTGGCTTAGCAACATTTTATGGAACCTGCAATTGCTCGTCTGACATACTGGATTAAGAGAAACATAAATTAAATCACAGAATTAAGATTTAATGTAGCGGTACATTTGTGGACATTCCAAGAGTGATTAATGTAGCGTGTAAAATTGCGTGGAACCGCAAAATTACTAACCATGGTATTTTCAGCAGATGCAAACATATTTGCTTCTTTCTATCCAAAGCCCTAAGATTCCTCTCTTAGGGACATTTTATTGTAGGGAATGTGCAATCTTTGAATTGCTCATTTCATATGCTGGCTATACTTACAGTATTAAAAAAAGCAGGAATTAAGTAGGATTCGGCTGTGGATATCTGATCTCATTTTA